CGGATAAACAGAGCCAAGAGCAAGATGGCACAGCGGCTGAAGATGCTTGCTGCCAAACCTGATGACCTGAGTTCAATCTCTGGGACCCATATGGTGGAAGGAGAGAACTGATTCCCTCTACGTGATGGAGATGATGCATGCATGTACACATGCACACACACACACACACACACACACACACACACACACACACACACACTGGAAAAAGAAAGACCAGTTCTACAATGACTACCCATGGCTTAAAGGACAAGCAGGAGAAAATAAACAATTCTTTAATACTTATGCCTAATCATTGTATAATGAACAGAAAGTTAATCAGTACTATATATGCTCCTACATCCTAAAAGAAACAAGAAAGGTCTTACTGATTTTGCTTTTGAAACTTCTAGAGGCCTGACTTCATATTACCTTCTACCCAAATGACATGGTCCTTTTCTAAGAAGAAACGCCATTGCTGAACTCATCTGTAGGATTATGTTTGTCTGGTAGGTCATTTCCTTCGTGGGTCAGCATGTTCTCAGAATCCTATCTTGACTGTTTTAAAACCATTGGGTTAGAAATGCAATGGATGAAATATTTCACTGTAATTAAGGCTACATTTTGATAACTGATAGGACCTCATGTAATTTTTGCAGGTCATAATTTGAAAAAAAATAGTCATAGGTCTGCCCTTAAATATCTCAACAAGTATCTGCTAATTCTTTATTCACCAATGGAATGCTTATGAATTCTCCATTTAAACTGAATAAATTCGTTTTTGACTTTGTTTTTGCTTCTCCAAAATGGGTCCGTGTTACATTCTTAGAGTAATAAATTCAGTAAATGGTGAGGGCACGCACCTAGGTAGGGCCACTCTCTAGCTGGAAACTGGGAAGAGAATAAAGATAATTTTTAAAATATTTATTATTTTATATGTATGAGTGTATTGCCTGCATGTAAGTGCACATGTATCATGCAATGCCCATGGAGGTCAGAAGAGGGCATCAGATTCCCTGAAACTGGAGTTACAGATGGTTACAGCTGCCATGTGGGTACTGGGATTCCAACTCAGGATTTCTGCAAGAGCTGCTGGTGCTCTTAATCACTGAGCCATCTCTCCAGCCATGAGAATAAAGATCATTTTGAAATGTGTCAAAATTCCAAAGCAGGAGTTGGTACAAGACAGATTGACTGTGACTTAGCAAGTGTCCAAACATGATGGGAATTAGGAGCTAGGTAAATATGTGGCAGCCACAGATAGCAAAGGCTCAAAAAAAAAAAAAATCTAGGATGAAATTTGGAATGAAACCAGCATACAGAAAGATGTTTCACCCTTGGGTGAGACAGGACAGATGATCCAAAGATCAGGCAAGTGACTAGAACCTGAAGAGACACGCACAACAGACCTTGACATGAGGTGATGACGTTTGGTTTTGATGGAACCCCGGAAGACTCAGACCAAGGTGGGCAAACAGAAATCAGGTAAGGTGATAAAATTCCCAGTCATATTAATTTGTGCAATGAGGCCATTTTTCTTCTGAAAATATTCTTTAGTCTTAAATTGTTTTCTACTGAAGTGAAAAAAATTTGGAGGTGTCTGGATTCCAGGGATTTGGTGACTCCAATATTACTGATGATACCTGATGTCAGGATGTGGTGTGGTAATAAAAGGGGAAAGAGCCAAAAGACAGGAAGTAGAGGCCATCAGCCACAAATCATACTTCAAAGTCTGTGTCTTAGAGCCTTAAGCTATTTATTGTATTATTTTCAATTAAACATATGGCTCCCATTCTTGGGAATCATTCATTCTTATGGTTAAAAATTAATACCTTTCTTTTTCTATGTTAAATATCAAATATAGACCACAGATAGTTTCATTAAGAAAATTTATAGGTATACCATACATTTTGCAAAGTACTTTAATGCTGATAACAACAATACTATTATAACCACTGAGTTATTTGTATATCAATCTAAAAGTATTATAAATGGGCAATGAAGACATTTAAAAAAAGAATAAAATCCAAACCCATGTATGTTGTAGCCAGTAAACATGGTTTTGTGGGGAATGTTTCTGTTACTTTTTTAAAAAATAAATAATTTATTGGGAATTTCATACATGCATATAAGGTGTTTTGATCAAATCCATGCTCACTCCCTCCCCTCCAACTCCTTCCACATCTCCCAATCACTTCTTTTCTGATAATTTCATGTACTCTTTCTTCTTCCTTGATTGATTGATTGGTTTTTATGGGGCTTTTGGCTACTCTAACATCCCCACCTCTCTGAAGAGGCAAACCTAAAATATTTTAAGGATTGGATAACAGCTCCCAAATACTTTCATTTTGACATTTTTGGCCTTTGGAACAGAGTACGTTACTAAGAGACCCAAGGACATTTTGACTTTTAGCCAAGAAACTGGCTACTTTTCTTTGGGGTCTTTTTACCCTAACTGCCTACCCAGTTCCTGCCTCCTATTCTTATCACACCATCCTCTGAAGGGGTTACCCAAATTGCCAATAGGGAATAGGGACACAGACCGCTCTGGCTTCTTCCATGCTGAACAGGGACACAGGGTGAGGCAACTGGAGTAGTCCTTCAGTGGGTCTATCTAAAAGACTCCCAAGTTGAAAAACTCTTATCTCTAAGGGGAAAAGAAATCCCTTGAATCGTGAATAGGAGATGTGAAGGAGAAGTAAAGGCAAGAGTGATTAGCATGTTTCTGTTACTTTTAAAAAGCTTTATTAGTATATAATTCATTTGCCATATAATTCACACATTTTTAATCTTATGTGAATGTGTGTGTATGCTCTGTATATGTATATGTTTGTGTGTATAAATTCCAGTGTACATGTGTGGAGGTCAAAGGAGAACCTTGGATAGGGTGTTAACCCTCACCTTCTGCATGTTTTGAAAGAGGGTCTCTGTCGTTTGATGGTTGTTCCAGGCTAGCCGGAATACACGCTTCCAGGATTCTCCTGTCTCTTCTTCCCAACTCTGAACAGAAGACTTCACAAGTGAGCAGCATTAACAAATGCATGTGTATATGAGTATATTTAATCCAATGATTTATGGTGATGCATTTATTAATTTTTACCTACTAATATAAAAAAATGCCAGTGTAACCACTTTGAATTGCACAATTCACTACCATCGGTTGCATTCACAGAATTACACACCTATTCATATTGTCTGTTTCCAAAGTGCTGTCATCATGTCAAGGTGGAAGTCCACAGCCATTATCAGTAACTCCCAGGCCCCTTCTAAGTAACTCCTGGTAATCTCTAATTTGCTTTCTGCACTTTTGAATTGTCTGTTCTGGTCTCTGGTAATGGAGTCCCATGATAATTGTACATTTCGTCTGATTTATTTTACTTAGAATCATATTTCTAAGATTCATCATGCATTAGACTCATTCCT